CGTTCTTGCGAGAACGCTCTCACAATTTCGTTTTCCTTTTCGTTCTTTGTGAGAACGTTCTTTTTCGGTTATGTTCTTTGACCGAAGAATGAAAACGAACGAAGAATGCGTTAATTCCACTGGTTTTAGAGTTTCACGTAGAATAATATCTGTAAGAGTGCAAGGTAAACCCGGGGTCTGAGTTAAGCGGTCTGGATATTCTGATAGTATTTGTGAGCGTCTCTGACCGACGTTGTTTTCCTCAATAATTGTAATATATATGTAAAATGCGATATAAAATGCGCTTCTTCCGTATGGGAACACCGCCGCAGGCTTCATATTTTCAATTCGGTATTTAACCAAGCTGCTGACTTGAGAAATCGTCGTTAAGTGTAAAGCAGGTTTAACGTAAGAGGAACTTGAATGAACCGGATTTGCCTAAAATTTCAGGGTAATCAATTCGATACTCTATTAAGAAAAAATGATATAAAATAATGTATTCTTGTTCTATGATTGATTTTTACACAGGCATGGGCACTTTTGGTAAATACTGCTGAATCGCCACTGAATTACACGCTTACAAAACGTCAGAGTGAATTTCGTTAAATGTGTCTCTCCGTCCGTGCAAATATTGTTTAAAAATGAGTCTATAAATATACCTCGGTAGATACAATCGAAATTTCGTACTCAATTTAAGAAGATCGAACGTTTCGAGGAGTAGGTTATTTCCTACATTCAAATGTTTAAAGGATCAGATATTTTTTTTAATATTAAATTAATCATCGTACAATCTAACTTGAAAATGTCCCAAAAGACAATTCAAACATTCTTACTACAAAATCTAACTAAAAATTGAATAACATTGAATGAAAATTGGGCGAAAAATGGTCATTTTTCCTCAATCGTATGTAGTTTTTACTTGGATTTTCTCATAACAATATCTGCATTAGCCCTGCGCTGTACGATTACTAAGCATCACGATCTTCTCATTTGAGATTGTTGATCATGTAGAATTAAGATTGATATCAATTCCACGATTTTCCAAAGAGTTTTTGTAGTGTAAAAAATTGAAAATTTTTCTTGAGAATTTCATGTTTTACATCTGTTGTTGGTTCCAAGGTCGACGTTTCCCCCCAATCACGTTGCTTCCAGTCCAAGAAGTCCATTTCATGTGCGTCTTCCGATTTTTGGGCACTCGATATATGTATATCATATAGGCGAGCATTCTTCAAAAACACATTTTGAGGTTTGCAGACATTCTAAGGAATTTCACAGTAACATTAGAGAATCGGAGAATTGACATCGATTGGTTTTGCAATCATAAAGCTTCTATGCGAAGGCAAAGAACTACATAAAGGCAAAAGAAAAATATAGTAAATGACATTCTAATGATCCAAAACAACCACAGAAAGTCATAAGTCCATGAAATTATTCTCGGAAGACATGGAGGCTAAATGGACAACTTACAGATTTTTTTTCCAAAAATATTCCAATCATTTCATCTGTAGGAATACGTTTATCCATAACAGTGCAGGTGATTGTGACTGGAAGATATGCAATTGAAAAACAATACTATATAATACTATACTATATAATATACTGCTGGGACAGAATTTTGAACATTTAGAAAAAAGAACCAAAGGAAAAGGGCCCTGTTTTCTCCGCGAAAGGAAGATTTTTTTTTCTAATTATCTATTTGCAAGTTCGCCTCTTTACACAGGTAGAAAAATATTAAGTATTTATTCAAATATTCAATATGTTCTATACTCTTGAATGAAAGTAGCTAAGTATTTAGTATTTTTTAACTCTCCTTTAAATACTGATCCTACGTTAAATACACGGAGAGAAAAATTTCATAAAAAATAAGTGCCTATGAAATTTTCATTTCCGTGTACTGAGATATACTAAAACGCGATGTGTATTCTCATATTTACCTGCCTACATGATCACGAACTAATACACTCTTTTAAATGGTGAGCTAATTCGAGTGAAGCAGAGAAATTGAAATCATTCTGATGAATCGTTTGTGGTAGGGCCGAACTAGACATTTACCAAACTGCAAGTTATGACAATTGAGTATGAAAGTATTGAAACAGGTCAGGTGTGGGATTAAGAAAACAAGGGTTACAATTGGCGGGCTCACCAATCTGGCGTAAGGGTTCAAGATGCTGGTTAAAACGTTGATTTTCCAAGTGTGAATGCTGTTTGTAATAGGAAATCGTTGTATGCAAAAATATAAGGCCATTGACTATTAAATGCCATCATTGAAAAAAATATTTGAAAATTAAAATACGTCGATTGTTCAATCCATTCATCTTCTGTAGCAGACAGCAGTAAATCTAGTTTCATATAGGAACAAAAATGTTTAAAAACGATGGATTAATAGTTTTCACGTCACCAAGGAACGAAGAGGGCTTGTGTGAATTAATAACAAGTAGGTAATACTTGCTAATGTTTAAATTATCTCATTTCAAATGAAATAAATCTTACTCGGAAAAAATTACTCCCCTTTTAATAACATAATATTTCACTCAGGACATTGATTATAAATGTCAATTCACATAATTTTAAGGTGATGATGACGATGAGAGCATAGGAAGTAAAATAAATTAAAATAGTAAATTTCTGACCTGAAAATGACCTATACCAAGCGTCAAGTGAATTGCCGGTCAATTTCTGATCTTTAAGTTGATTGTACCGATTCTCAAGCGTATCTCAGGTCAATGTGTGAGCTTGGAATTAATTGTACCGAATGTTAACTAAATCCCAAGTTTGTGTGTCAACTTAAAATGCACTGTACTGAGGGTTCATTATAACAGTCTCCATGTAAGCTTGTTGGGCCAATGGGAGGATAAGCACGGTGGTCAATTTGAACGTTCACGCCGCCACCGAGGATTGACCCAAGTATTGAATTTTAATTAGTGGTACAATTGGGTAAAGTTGATTCTGTAACGGGTCGAATGATTTTTTTTTAATTTTCCAGAATTAGTTTTCCATCGCCTTTTTCTTGAAAATAGGAGTATTTATGGGAACATGCACTACGGCGCAGATGGATATAGATGACGGTCAATTAAGTCTCACCATCAACTATCTCCCATATTTCTCGTCATTTTTGCCACAATTTTCACCATTTTGAAGTGCGGAAGAGGTGTGGCACAGATAATAAAAACTATAAGCACAGGACGGCTCCATTTTTTTTCCATCAAAATTGTTAATTTCTTTTCCACTTGAATTCCAACTTGACAGGGTTGATGAAGTAATGGGTTTAGGGTTACTTGTTTTGTGGAAGTTCGGTTTCAAAAGTCATGTTCTTCGGAAAAGTGTATCATTTCCTGAAATTTAAAGGGCTAGGTATGGGTTTCCCGAGCGAAAAAAACGCACATGTTCATCATTTTTTTCGTTTTCAAAATACAATATTTAGGTCAAACTTTTTCGTACGTTAAAGATATATATTTAAACAAGGTCTTCTAGAATTTTCGTTGAAAAATCCTGAAAACTCAGTCATTAAAACGTCGTTGACAGCAAAACTCATGACAGGATCATTCGAAATTAACAAAAAAATCGCCTCTTTTAGGTAACACTTTGAACAAGAAAAAAGTAAAAATGAAATAATTCGATTTTTGGCAGCTTTTTATGAAAAATAACTGATTTCGATGGAGTCTTCATTACCCCGGTATCCATCCATACATTCGCACACGGTCTAAAAAATTAATTTTGGAATTTCTTGGATTATACTAAGGCGATATACCACCAAAAATATGGAACGTTAATTTGGTTGATTAGAAACCTTCCATTCGGGAGCAAAAATGAGGGAAAAACTACTAAAATATAAAAATGAAGAGGTTTTAAATATTCTTAAAATGCCATCGCCAGGTTGTTAACATATTTCACGTGATTGACCATAGGTAGATCGCCCTCGGAAATATGTTTTTTACAATAATCTTTAATAACCTCAAAAACTACTGGGATTTAATAGCTAAGACTGCAACCCATGTGTTTTCTTCCAAAAGACGGATTCAAGCCTATTGTACCCTTTCATTCATGGAGAAATACAGGAATACCGGGTTAATTCGAAAACGATTGGAGAAGTTCATTGCTATAATTTGGATTCGTATTTCACGTGAACGTCTACCTGCAAGACACGTTAATTTTTATCCGAGCATTGAATCTAGTTCGTTATTGATTTTCAGCTATGTAAGTAATTCGGAAGCGATTTTCCGCTTCCTTCTATAAACACCTTAGAATGTTGATAGTTCAATTCAATGATGGATCAAAAAAAATTTTGAATTATCAAGACATTTTTTGTTCACATTTTTTTCAGAATTTCGGCTAATTTTCTCAAATGGAAGATTTCATCCTAACGGCAACTTCCAGAAAAATGAGGATTAGTAATTAAATGGATAATTATTTGTTAGAATTGTGAATTGAAAATGGAAATTTTTTTGTTAATCTGCTGAATCAGTTACTGTAATTAGCGGCTCCGAGGTCTCTTACTCTCCTTTATTTACGAGATTACTCTGATGCTTTTCCCCTCTACCCTATTTTCTAGTACTCGTATCTTCACAAAAAAACAAAACTGCCAAATTCTCTTTGTGATTTTGTCATTGACATTATTCAACGAATTTATCGCCACAATTTATGTTCAATTTGATGTTTATTTTTTATGATGAAGAAATTCAACAGAAAATCAACTTCCATTTGTTCGGATGAGAATATTTCACACGTCAAAATAAGATTGTCAAAGTAACGCAAGAGAATTTATTAATTACTTAGCAACCTATAATCCTTACGTGGATGGTCTCTCAACGTTTATTGGATAGATGTTTATGAACTTCTTTGCATGGAACACATAACACATAGTCTCGTAAGAAATGGGGATCAGAAAATCACACTCTATAATAGTACAAAACTTTTCTAACCTTTGCGCTTCACTTATTGACGCTAAACCACTGAGAATTAGTATACATACATAGAAAAATACACGCAAAGACGTGAACACGTGATTTTAATATGACAGACAGTGTTAAAATGTCGTTTCAGGAGCCCAATGTGGGTTGAAGTGAGATGGCATCCAGGGAAAAGAGACCCCTAGCGCCTTCTTCGAAGTCAAAGCAGAAAGCAAACAATGACCCAACTCTGCCAGCTTCATCGAGCAAGACCAAGAAGGCCAAACTATCTCCCTACATATTAGAAGCAACAGGTAGCAAGCTCTCTCCCAAGCTTGAGGCATCCTTACCCCGCAAGAAGGTCCTGACGAGTCTTAAATGCAAAAAGAAGCTGCGCGCGGTTAAATCGAACTTAATTAAAGGCAAAGGTTCGAAGAACGCTCCCGTCAAGAATTTGAAACGAATCCCCGTTCAAACAGCAAACAAAACTACTAAACCCAGTCTAACACGGATTAAAGCAAGACCATCGCTTAAGCCTTTCGAGGAAGAAATTTACTCTTCAGATAAATCTGAGTTCTCGCCGTCTCGAGGAAGTCCAAAGACAAATCGAAAGCTAAAACTTTCATCTTTATCAGATTCGCAAAAAAGTGCCAAACTAACTAGACGCACCCTTCACATCAAAGAAGAGATTGACACAGACCTGAAGAACCGTAAATCTAGCCCCCCGAACGATCAAAAGACTCCGCGTGCCCGACTCGATTCTCCATTGCCAAAATCTAGCGTGGACTCAACAATCGACGACGTGTTGGCGATGGTCAGTGACAGTGAGTTAGACTATTCAGCTTTGCCTTCTGAGGGTAAAGTTACCCGAAGCAGAAGGATGATCGATGACAAGTCAGTGTTGTTAGAGCACGAGATAAAAAAGGAGATCATCGAAGAAGACTTTGATGAGGATGAGTTGACCTCAAATGATGATCTCCAGACTGCCATAGATATTAAAGAGTCTAAAAGAAAATTCAGTCAACGAAGCTTACGGAATGGCAAGCTCCGACAGTTGGACTCTTCTCAGTCCGATGACTTGCGAAAAGCTCGTAGACCCAATGTCGACGAGACAATGACTTCTGAATATATGGAGAACGCAACTGTAGACGAAACTGTGGAATCCACGCCATCGGAAATTACCATTGGAGATACGTCCTTATCTTTATCGTCAGACTCCAGACTAGGGGATGTAGAATTATCAATTTCTAATGAGCACGAGAACAATAATAACAGTGGAATTTCTGGGGCGGATGGGGGCCCAACACTACGTTCTAAAACGAAAGCGAAAACTACGGATCCTCAAATTACACCTGAGGATGAAGAATTCTATATAATCGAGCCTCTAGATGATTCAAAAAAGCCTCAAACTCTTGGGAAGCTGACATCACTCGACAAAATACCTGCGAAACGTCGATCATCTCTCAATATCGATGTAAAAAAAACTATCGGTTCACTGTACGGTAACGAAAAGGCTGATGGAACCGCTCCGAAATCCCAAATCGATCAAATGATCGAAAACATTAAATTGACGATTGCCAAATCCATCGAAAGTAAAATTTTTGGTCCAGAGAAGGCCCTTGGTCTCACGAAATCTTTTGAGCCCCCAAATTCTGCAAGAATTGAGGAAATAATTATTCCTGTTAGCACAGAGACCCGAAAACTAAATTTAGATCCTCCAGAGATAATCATCGACGATGATCAGCCAAATGGTTCGAACGGAACTAATGAAATGTCCCTGCAAAATACTTCTAACAATATTAATCATAGTTGCAATAGTAGTACCAGTAACAATACTGATAACAGTGATGACACGATGCCCAAGGTAGCGGACACTGCCAAAGAAATTGAAAAACTAGTCATGGGCGGTGAAAGTGAAGAAATTAAGTTGATTAATGATTCTATTGAATCGCCGTCTAGCAGAACTGATGATATCGAAACGCATGATGAAATAGAACACGACTCGAGAGACTCTAATGAACGTGCCAAAACCAATGATATTGAAAAGAGTGAGAGAATGATGGTGGAGAGAGACAGAGAAGATGTTTGTATGATAGAACAGGAAACGTTGGATGAATTAGAAAAGTCATTACAAACATCAGAATCATTGGAAAATCCTATACAACCTGAGACGATTGAGAGCATTTCCAGAGAACTAGAAAGCCTGATTTCTGCATCTCCTTCGTTAGAAGCATCAGCTAATGAAACTAAACACGAAGACACTGTCGGAATCAATTTTAATAACGATATGTATGCGGGTTCCGAATATACCGATGAGCCTTCACAACTGATTCTCAGTTCTCCTAATCCTAATCATGCTGAAAAACTAATTCCCGAACGCTCAGATTCTCCTCAAAACAGTCCGGAAGCTATCTTAACCTCTTCTGAAGACTGTGATTCAGTTTCACTTCGTTTGGAAGCCTCAAGATCCATTGATGATATTGAACAATGTCCTGAAAAGCCATTACAAAGTCCGGAAATTCCCCCTGAGAGTAAACAAGAAGATGGGAAACGCGTCCTTCGAACCCGAGACAAGCAGAGAAAATTCGACAAATCTAAAACCTCTGAAATACTCGATTCTTCAGACGTAAAAGTTAAAACAGAGCCTGACAATCTTTCAGTAGATTCCAACGAATTGAGTGAAGCTGAACGACGAGATTCTCCCCAAATAATAGAGCCTTCAGATTCTATAAAAGTAGAAGAAGGGTATCAAGGGAGAACAAGGAGGAGTAGAGATATAAAAAGACGGCGAGAAGACGTTTTTCTCATGCAAAACACATGTCAAAAAAGCAAAAGGAATCGTCGAGAGCCGAAAAAAACCGAACAAAATAAGGAGGAGACACTTTTGGATAATGAAGTAGCAAAGATCAATGAGAATAATGGTGAATATTCAGCTGAGAAGTTTAATAAACGGTTGGAGGGAACCAAGAGCCTCAGGATCTTCTCTGAGCATGACCGAATTGATAGCACTGAAGAAAATGATCGAAGTAAATCGGAGAATGATATTGAGTCGATCAAAGAAAAGTCAGAGTGCGTGGAGAGATTGCACGGTGATCAATGTGATAGTAATGGATTGAAAAACATTCGAAGTGGAGAGATGGAGAGTAAATCTGGTATGGCTCAAACTGTGCAGAAAGATTGTGATGAAGCTTCTACCTCTGGGGAATCCATTCCGAAAATACTGGAAACTCCTGAGGAGACCGCAATGAAGGAGAAAATACTCTTGATGCTGGGGCTGGAGTCTGCGGAAAAGGCTGCGGAGAGGAAAAAGGCGAAGGTTGAACAATGCGCCGGAGGGTTGAAAACTGTTATCAGAGTACCTAAGGACTCGAGCAAAGAAAAGAAAAGATCCAGGTCGCCGTTGAAAATGGTGCTGAAGCAGGGCCGGCTTGATGGTGGCGGAGATTCCCCTGAATTCTATACAATTCAAAAGGAGGTGAGTCTGAGTTTTGCACTTTTTCCTTATTAAGGAAATTTTTTTAATTATTTGGAATTCTGCATATAGTACGAAAAAAAAAGTCCACATGCAAAGGACCAATGTATTTCTTTACTCATGGTAAAGATCTCACGAGAGATCAAACTCTAGGAAAACCATTAGGTACTTCAATTTTTGTTGATTGAGTTGAAACATGAATTACACATATATTAATTTTTCGAAGAATTTATGCAAGAGATTTTCTTATTAAATTCTTGACCTGAAATTTATATATTATCATTAACAATAATTCAAAAAAAATATATGAATAGTTTTTACAAACTGTACTGTAATAAACTTATTCACCTATCAATCATCAACTCAATCGACTGATATTGATTGCAGCCCTTGGCCACTTTGTATAGAAAAATTGGATAGTTTGAACCCTCCCGGTGATATCTCAAACGGTCAACGACTTCGAATTCCACAATGGCATCACTTTCTAGTTTTACTCATTAAGGCCAGGATGGACCATATGTTGAAGGCAATCTTTTGTTTACGTCTTATCGTGTTAGCCTAAAAGATATTAAAATTTGGGATCAAATCTGCATTGCGAGACCCACTCAGATGGTTATAAAAAGATAATGGAAAAAAGAGGAATCATCATCGAAGGCTAAATCGAGATAATGATCGCAAGGGATCCACTAAGTTTATCAAAAGAAACAAGAAAATACGTAGCCTACCATTGCTCTTCACTGAATTGAGTGACAGCTAGATGCAATGGCACACTGCGTATTTTTTAGTTTCTTTTTGTAAACTTAGTGGATCCCTTGCGATCATTATCTCGATTTAGCCCTCGATGATGATTCCTCTTTTTTCCACTATCGTTTTGTAAGCATCCGAGTGGTGCCTGCACTACAAATTTAATGCTAAACTTTGATATATTTTAGGCTAACCAGATAGAACAGAAACAAAAGATCACGTTCGATAGCTATTCCATGCAGCCCTTAAGTACAATTAAATATCAGCCCTTATTTTGGTATTTCATTCATCAACTATTTATCTTTCGGTAAAAAAAAAGTATTGTTTTAATTTTTTTATTCATTTATTTTACAGCTCGGAACCAGTGGTTTGGGAGATAGCAGCTCTGGTGCGAACCGAAAGTTCTCTACTAATCACAGACAATCTTGCGGTAATCCTGGTTGCGGGCATAACTACATTATTAATCAATACCAAATTCCCTACATCCAAATTCAGTAGCTTGTCATTCGACTTCTTTTTATATTCATTATTAGTTTCTACTAATGATTAATTCGAAAATTGTTGCATGTGGTAAATGAAGAAAAGAAGATTTTAACTTCACGTTGAACTCGTTACCATTTATTTTTAATCTTCGTTTCGATTTATTCGTTTTGTTCATGGTGATGTAGATGAAGATCCTGAGGAAACTGCAGCGAAGGACAGGCAAAGTCTGATTATTCCAGAGAAATCATCATCTTTTTCAATTCATCCTGGACGTCTCTGTGCCGATGTTTGTTGTTATTGTTTTGGAAAATTCGGATCGCTTGATACACCGATGCACTTGGCACAAATGAAGTCTGATGATAGGAGAAGAAAAATTTTGAGTGTCGAGAGACATCTTACTAAGGACTCGTGCTTGTGTGATGCTTGTTATCGTCATGTTGATAGAAAAGTAAGTAGATTATGAGTCTATTATTCACAATCCAGAAATAAAATTAGCTTATTATTAAGTTAGATTATTATCATAGTGTCCACACTATTGGATTATAAAATTTCATCAGCTACGAAAAATCTTTCACTTGGAATTTTCTCCAATTGCCCATTGTTTATGTAACTAAAATTTTCAGCATTGGATTCCATTCATTTTCTCATAAATTTAGATGAATTTCTTAGTGTACAACGAAAATTGGGTTTTGCAGAAATTAGATCAATTATTACTACTTATTCTCCTCATGATGTTTATTTTTCTAGGCAAATACGAGCCCAACAAACGTGTCAAAACCGCAACGGCAACACCGACAGTTGATGGTCTCCAAATGTTCTGCCAGAGATTGCAGAGACTCCGCGAGGCATCTCGTGAAACGGCGATGGTTACTAAAAATTAAATCATGCCTTCAAAATCAGGTACATATAACAAAGAACTTATAGTGATTACGAGAAATATGGAAAACCCTATTATTGCTCTGAAAGTTCGTCCGATATTTTAATTGACAGTAGTCTGATTTTAACTACTCACAAAACAGTTTCATCTTCAAAACAAAAATTTTCAATGTCGAAGGTGAGTTTGACAAAAGTTAGTGGCATAAAAAAGTATTGATTGCTAAATCATTCAGTTTGTTAAAGTTGTTTTAGCAAAATTTTTTATGCACTTTTTTTTACCATACCTGAAAAACTGTTCAAATAATGCTCGGAAATTAAGCACTGTTAAATTACACCAAATGCGTCTATCGTAAGAGAAGAAAAATTGAATTAGCCCATGAAAATTTAATTAGCCCCCCCCCCCC